TAGTGAAGAAGACATGCATGCCCCAGTGCCTCCTACAGGTCCATGTGGTCTACAGGTCCATGTGGTAGCGCATCAGGAGGAGAGGAATGTATGCACCCTGGCCCCGGGAACAGTGGAGGAATGCTTGCCAAACCTGCTTCTTGGGCCCATTGCACTTTCTTTGCTGCCTTGCCTCTATTTCTTCTGATACCACAAACGTGGGATATCCGAGTTTCTCTTTAGATTCTAAAGTTTAGAGGCTCCCCTATGACAAAATTTATTAATTTTCCTGTTGCCTCATATTTTGATTTGGGGGGCATAGATGGAGTCTTCCTGACTCCTGAATTCCTAGGAAAGCCAGAACTCCTGTGGTCTTCTGCACCAGACAATGACCCTTTGATCATTAACCAAGGGCGAAAGGAGGTAGAAAGGAAAAATAGAATGTGCTTAACAGTCTGAGTCCAGTGGACCTGATTTCAAAACCAGGGAAAAGGTTGAATAACTATGTAAAAGTTCAATTCAACGATATATCCCAGGATAGTTGAGATTTCTGTGCTCATGTGGTGGATCTGACCATATATCCCTCACAGCATTGTGATAAACCATGAGTGATATAGTGCATTTGTTAAATACCTGGAATGTGGTTTAGAAGACAAAAAAAAAAAAAAAAAAAAAAAAAAAAGGACATTATTTGGGCATCACAGGAATTAAACCTTCCTGAGTCCAGTATAGGATGAATTATGGGGAATGGTATTCACCAGGGCTCCAGTGTTTGCTTGTTTCTCTTCCCCTGTAGAGGTTCTAGTAGAAGTACTATACAATTGACCTGTCACTCAACTCCATTCCAAAAATGCTTGGTGGCTACTGACTAAGACCAATATCAAAATGAGTGTGGCTGTTCCACCCCTCAAAGAAAATGTAGCTAGGTCCTTGACCTAGTAAATATTGAGTCAGTGAGATTCCAAAAAGTGTGTCAATCCCATTTCAAACTGGCTGAGCGCGCGCACGCGCGCGCGCACACACACACACACACACACACACACACACACAAATTCCAAAGGCAAGTTCAACTTGTGAGATAGAAACCAGATATTGAACCAATCAGCAGCCACTGGTGGGCAAAACCTTGTAGGAAGGCCTAGCCCATGGCCATTTCTCTCAATCTAACCAAGCCAATTAATTATGTCCATTCCAGTTATCAATTTCAGAAGGCAGGCATCCTAGATGCTATGAAGTAGTGTGGAAATGGTCAAAATTAGTTAAAGGCTTCAATCTTCCTGGTTAGAAAACTCATATAATACAAGACAGAGGTTAAAAGCTTTAGACTAAAACATGAAAGAACAGGAACAGAATTTGAACATCAACTTTGTACTTACTATCAATGTGACTCTGTAAAATTACCTTGTCTGTCCATGCCTCAATCATGTATGCATAAAATAAGAACACAAGTCACAGGAAATATACGCCACTGGTAATGCAACCGTGCATAATAGTTCTACCAAGAACACCTTCTTTTCATGAAAAGGCACTATCTTTGTCTTTGTTCATAACGGATAACAAATGCCACTGATTTTATGCTCCAGGGCATGGAACCTAATTGCTGTAGGTCTCAGTTTTCTAAAACATCCACTGCTAATCCTGTAGGTAGGCTTGTCTGCTCATTCAGAATATTTATAAACTGATATTTCTTTATCCTGCCTCCACAAAGAAAGAATGTACTATGTTCAAGCTTTCAAAAAATAGCTTAAGACTTAATACCAAGCAAAGCATAGTTCTAGGAACACCTCCAATCACCTGCTTAGTCTTCCCATCCAAAGTTTCCCACTCTGCTTAGCTGATTTCACTTTTTGATCAAATACCCACAAGTTAGAATATGATTATAAAAATATCAGTTGACTCTATTTAACTCTAATGCAAATTTTTGGAATAAATATTTAAAGCAACATTAAAACATTAAAAGCAAAAAGTCAGAAAATCTATAGCACCAGGACAAACAACGAAAGTGTGCATAGATACCTGTTAAGTCATTTTCATGGAGGCTACCATTGTATGGTATATGGTCTTACATACAGCATACAGCTCTTAGCTAACAGCCCTTGTACCTTGGACACAAAGGATGCCAGAAGCCAGTATTTCTTTGTATTGTTGTCCTTACCTGAGTTCTCTGCTTATCTACACAGATTTGTGACAGGTGTGGGGGTGTTGATACAAGTTCTCATGCAGTGCAGGGTAGCCTCAAACTCCTCTGTAGCATAGGCTAGCTTCAAAAAACCCATCTTCCTGTCTGCCTCCCAAGTACTAGGACTACAGGTGTAGAGCACCATGCCCAACCAAACTCGACCTTCTTGCCAAGGCCTGAGAAAATTCTCCCTCTTCTCCTCTGCCTTCCTTGACTGCCCCTGGGCCCTGATATGACTGCTGCTGTCACCTGGCACTTCCTTCCCACTGCCTTAACTAGGAAGCAGGACAACCGGGGTACAAACCTCAGCCTACCCACACCTATGCTCCTAAACGGAGGTAAAGCCCACCTTTGATGATATTCATATGGTTGATCCAAACCTATATGTGTAGCTCCAGTGCTGGCTTACAGAAGAAGTTCCTGTAGTTCTAGCCGGAGTGGTAGAAGGTAAAAGTTCCAAGAACCATCTAGAAAGGGAAGGGTCCTTCTCTATTCTTTATCCATGGTATGAAATAGAATTGTGGTAGCTGGAGCTAGGGCAGTGATCTTTAATTTAAAAATGGAAGTCATATGTTTAATATGGTGGGGTAATAAAACAGAAGGAGCTGGGTCCCTGGGGTTCATGGAGTCTACTTCCCAGTCTTCAGATACCTCTATTCTGGCAAGTGAGAGAGGAAATCCTATTTTCCTTGAACGACAGTTTCTTTGAGATTTCTGACTCTCTCATCATCTTCATCACTACTGTAACTAATTCAACATATTTTTTGGTGTGTATGAGTGTGTGTGTGTGTGTGTGTGTGTGTGTGTGTGTGTGTGTGTGTGTGTGTCTCTGTAACTGTCCCAAATTTGACCTTTCTGTATTGCTTTATGTGGACTAGCCTCACATCCTCTTGACAATAGGTTGCCTCTCCTAATTGGAATCAGTTTTGCTAATCACGACTACAACCCACTCTACATGCAGTGCTGAGGAAGGCAGTATCTATTCAGGTCACCAGGGTTTATTCTAAACATTTTGATGGCATGTTAAATGCTCTCAAATACATGTAAAAGTCCTATCATTAAATTTAACCAGCCCGATGATGTGCTGAACGAGGCTATGAGAACGGCAGATAAATTGCTGTAATCTGCCATACTGTCACGTACCCTCCTCTTGAGCAGCTGTAATTGACTAATAGGATAATAAGGTGGCAGTTGACAAATCTCAAAGCCAGACTCCTTTGTTAGAAATGCCCTTGAGGAGAAAAGTGAAGAAGACAGAGAAGGTGTGATCAAAATCTGTATCTGATGCAACCAATGTAAACATGCGTTTCAAATGAACTCGAAAAGAAGTCACCCAGCGTCAGAAGTAGTGATGGGACTAAATTCCACTAGATTTATTTAGTATTTTACATTTCTGACATAGGTAATCTTCATTTCAGAAGAGCTTCCCCTCCTGGACTGCATCTAGGCTGGAGAGGACTCAAGCTGAAGTAGTATCCTGAGTGAGGCAGAAAAAAAAACTTTTTTGCATCAGTCTGACCAAAAGCCAAGGTGACCAATGACACTGTCTCTCGATGTGAGCCATTCATTCCCTGTGTATCTCTCAATCACCTCACACTCCTGAAGCCTTTTCTATGCCCACAGTCTGGAAAAGGAATGTACAGATTCCTGGTACTTTTTATAGACAACTTATTCCCTGCACAGGCCAATCCAGGTAAGATACTGCAATTGGCCCCATCTTTACTAAGCCTTTGAAATAAATTTTGCCCAAAGGAAGATCACACTTATTCCTAACTATAGAGGTCACCAGTAGGCATTGCCCTAGCGTCTGTCAACAAGGTCTGAAGTGCATACACCAAGCATACCATGAAAAATTAAGTATTTCATAGGGTATATTTGATGGGAGAATCATTACCAGGAAAACCACTTTAAATATCAGAAGAAAGCAACTTCTGATGCTTCAGGCTGGGCATCCCAAATCCTCATATCTAAAATACTTCAATGTCAGATTTTGGGGTGAGGGATACTCAAGTGGAAAAATCTATGCAAATATTCTAAATCACTTTTACTCCCAAGTATTTCCAATCAGGAGACACTCACTTGATTACTACTACTTAGAGAACACCTGTTGGCTGAGAGCATGGAGAGGAAGAGGAGTATTAGGAAATGGCATAAAACTTTAGGACCCTGAGGTCACAATAAAGAATGTGGCTATCAGTGGAGATGGGGGGCATCATTGATGATTCTGTGAAGAAGAGAGGAGATGATTTATGCAAGAATTCCTCTGCTGGCAGCCGAGTAATATAGAATTTGTGGGATGTGGAAACAGAGAAGGCAGAGAGGTTACTGCCATGGTCATTCAGGAAGTGACCACAGCTGGGTTAGGGGAGGTACCAACAGTGATGTTTAGCTGTCTAACTTCCGGACACATCTATAACGTCCAGCAACCAGACATGCAGACTAAGTGGATGTGGAAAAGAAACAACTTGGTTTCCCTGAGATGAGAAGGCTGTAGAAGAGAACATTTGGGTAGCTGCAGGGTGTGTGTGTGTGTGTGTGTGTGTGTGTGTGTGTGTGTGTGTGTGTGTGTGTGTAAAGAGATAAAGGAATCAACAGCTTCATTTTGGATGTTATTACAAAATACCACCACAATTTCCTACATCTAAAATTGTGTCCTCTGCCTCATTTCTGGACATTCTGGACACTTTGTAGGTATATTTATATGTCTATAACATCTGTGCATATACACATATGTGCACACACATATAAAACTGTACTTCTACATGAGTGCTGGAGTATACTGAAAGTGAGAGTGGGCTGATGGGTGGGTGAATGACATTCCCTTCTTCTATCTTTCTTTCAGAACCAAAAATAGCCCTGACTTACCATCATGCTGATTTCTAAGTGAACTTTCTAGTGAACAACCACCTACCAGCATATCAGCACAATGACGTAAAAAGGAAAAACATTAGCATTTTCCAATCCAGTCAACGGATGAAGCACAGAAAAGCCATTTGGACAGAAGCAAAGGTCTCCAAGAACAAGTCAGCCATGCTGTTAATATCCCAAAGCTAGAGAAATCTGTTCCATGCCAGGGCCATATTGGAAGTTTAGAGGGAGAATGGCATGGAAAAACAAAAGATCCCTGGGATCCACTGAGGATTGCTGGGCGAAAATGGAATTTGGGCTGTGAGGTGAGAAGTATTCAGGCTGACCTCTGCAGGATACAGCAGTAGCCATTTGAAGTGCTTGCACTCCAGCAGGATGCTAAGCTCCCCCATAGAGCTCCGCACATGAGCTCACCCCTAATCCCTGGTGCCTTCCATCTCTCTGGTCTGCTTGGAACAAGTCCTTCTTCCAAGCAGGGCACTACTTGCCACAGTTGCTGTACCTCTGGCTCAGAAAGCAACCCCTGACCAAATCCTCCCTTGAGTCAACTTCACCCGGGCTCCTGAAAGCCCTGGCTGTCCATCTTTGTCACATCTGTACTGTATGTACCACTTTAGCAAGAAACAGACTGAGTAAGTTTAGAAAGAACCTCTCTCTACTCCGGGGGGCTGGCCCAGTCTCCCCAAGGCAGGTCCAATAGCATCCACTTTGTAATCAGAACCCCTGATAGCTTCATGTTGAAAGAAGAAGAAAAAAAAATCAAACAGCAAACAACTTCATGCAAGAATGAAGGGAAGTCATTAAGACCCATCCAGGTCTGAGTGTTAGATGAAAATGTTACTGTCGTTAATTACCTTTCAATGATAATGCAAATGACAGAGAAAATAATGAGAATGTTTACCCAGAAAACTAATGGGGATTGGCATTTCAAAGATACCAGAATAACAGGTAACAAGCAGAGCTCTGATTCTTCCCTGCCTGCTGACCCACTTCATGGGTTTCAGGCTGGAAACCCTCATCACGTTCTCCTTTGCTCGAGTCAATGAAACAAGCCCCCTCTGCTTCCTGCCTAGCACCTCCACTCAACATCCAAAGCAACTTTCAGTAGTGACCACTGAGACCTGCAGGAACCTATACGAATACCCCAACACACAACTGTGGACATTGGTCCACTGTGGTCCACAGGACATGGCTTCTTGAGAGTCATAAATGGGCATGTGGGAAAAACAATGCTGTAAAATGTAAAGAGGGCTATGGACTTGCGTTGTATTGGGAACACCTTTGAGTATTGAGAATACGTTGGATTTTAGCTCTGCTTACAAAGAAAATACTATATTGCAGCATCACAGGGGATTAAATCTGAAAAAGCATACACATACACATCTATGCATGTACATATGTACACATATACATGTGTATACACACACACACACACACACACACACACACACACACAGTTTCAATTTAAGGAAAAGTGCCACTTAAAAAAATTCCCAATTTACCATGCAGTAAATCATCTCTTTACTACAAAGTCTTCCTGTTCATATGTGAATTTCTAGGCATCTTTTATAAATAGTCATATAAAACACTTTCTCTCCCTCTCTTTTCTCTCCCAGAGAGACAGACAGACAGACAGACAGACAGACAGACAGACAGACACACACACACACACACACACACACACACACACACACACACGAGATATGCATGTTCTCTCTCTTTCCTTTCCATTCTCCCTCCCTCCCTCCCTCCCTCCCTCCTCTCCTTGATACTAAAATTCAGAATCAGAAAAGAAATTTAAAATCAGCCAAAAAGAAAACAAGGAAACTCAGGATTTGAGCAGGAGTACATTTGGAGCAGGAGGAGCCAGCTGGTTAGCTGGCCTTTTAAAGGGTATCAGGGAACCAGGCGCAAGGCCATTAATCCTGCAGTTTTCGCTCCTTTGCCAACTCTCAGGGCTTACATTACTGAGCCATCATGGAGATTAAAAATGGGTCTCCATAAAGGTTTCTACTTCCCCAGGAACCCTCCTCTCTCTCCTCCCCACCTGCTGCCCCTTCACACAAGCAGCAGAGTCAAATCCAAAAGAAAAATATTAAAATCAAACTCGGCTTTAGGGATTTGGGGAGGTAGATGAGTGCAGGCTCTTATCTAGGCTTTAGCACAAGATTCCCTCTCTAAAGTCTCTTTAATGACATCCAGAGAAAGAGCAGGGACAAACACAATAGCTGCCTTCTAAACCCACTGCCCTTCAGGGAAGGGTGCATGCTCACAGGTTGCATCCCCACAGGGAAATGATGGCGCTCCATGCTCACCTCCCTGGGGGGCAACCTGCCTACATCAGACTTCTGGCCTTGTTTCCCATCACCCCAGTTCCTTCAGCATCCTCCGTGCTCCAAACGCACCCCCTGCCTGTCATTCTTTCCACAGAGATTCCCTGCTAGGCAAGTACATCATATTTGTCAACTGGAAAGAATGCGTGAGCGTGGCCACATTTCCACAAGGCCAAAGCAGCAGACAGTTTAAAGGGAATAATTGCAGATTTGTTCAGTCCATTTTAGCTAAACACAAGTATTTCCTCTGTCATCTATCTACAGCCTTGTCCAAATGCTGAGGGTTAAAGAAGAATATTAAACTACACCCAGCAGAACACAGAGAATACATATTGCCCTGCCCAAGGGAAGTGATTTCAAACATGGCTGGTGATCACCTAACCATACCCTAACCAGAGTCTCTGTCTGTTGTCCTTCCTCTTCGAACTCAGAGCAGGGCAAGGTGGCACACAAGCTCTAATCCCATCTACCCAGAAGCCTGAGGCAGGCTGGAGGCCAGTTGTGATTCATAGAAAGAATCCATGTTGGGGTGGGGGTGGTGAAAGAATATGGGTGCCTCTTGGAGAGATCCCAGGCACACTGTCCCAAATATTGTCCTATGAGTGTGTTTCGAAAACTCACCGTTTTGCCAGGCGGTGGTGGCACACGCCTTTTATCCCAGCACTCGGGAGGCAGAGGCAGGCAGATCTCTGAGTTGGTGGCCAGCCTGGGCTACAGCACTCCAGGACAGTAAGGACTATACAGAGAAACCCTATCTCAAAAACTCAGAGCGCACGGGAGGGAGGGGGGAAGGGGGGGGTCCTCCTCCTTTTTCTTGTTTCAATCTTGCAAACCGAGTGGCTAGGTAGGGTTGGGGACGGGTGTTCTCAGAAATCCTGCCCACTGAACAGAATTGTGGTTCCTTCCTTACCACGTCTGTCTGTCACTTTCAGATGCCACTATTACATAATTATACCTAGATGACAAAGAGAAGCCCAACTCCTCTCCCTGCTGTCTTTTTTCTGTTTTGTCAAATGTGTGAGACACAGGAAGTGGGCCACCAGACACTTCCTATGGTAGCCTGTGAAGCCACCTGAAAACCCCGACTGTCCTTGTCAAGCAGAGATGGACGTGAAGGGAAAATCCCCAGTACAAGACAAGGCAGTCAGGTTCCGAGTTACCTTACAGCAGTTGAATCTACGGCAGAGGGTTTTTACATTGTCCACTAACCCCAGTCTGCAGAAGAAAACGAAAGATGAATGAATGAACACAGCCTTCCCTCGCTGGGAAAGTGACACCAATCAGATCCGCAAAGAGCTAGGAAACCACCATTTGCCGGTTCTTGATTTGTTTTGATTCCAAACAACTGGCCCCCAAATGTTTTCTTGTTCTGCCCTCCAAATCTAAAACTGGAGGAAAATGAAGTGATTGATAATAAAGCTTTCACTGTTATCCTGGGGGTGGGGGGTGGCCCGCAAGAGCAATCTGAATAAAAGGCCATTTACTCTCCTGTTTCTGAATACATTTATTCCGTTTTGATAAGTACACATTTACACTGGAGAGAAGATGGTCTCTGGAACAGGCACATACTAGGATTAAATTTACATTCTCTGTCCAAACACAGGCACACACATTTTATACTGACAGAGCTAAGTGTTGGATTCACATTTGCAAACAAACGTAAGTTGTTTCAAAGAAAAAAAAATGTGCAACTTTCATCGCTTATAAAAATAGAAATTTCTATTACTTACTTTTGGTTTGAGAAAACCCAGGAGAGAAGTGACCTGTTTTGATGGCAAAGTGTTCCTGACATATCTCGCCATACTTAGTAGCCAGCCCAGGCTTGACCAATCCCAGGAAAGGAGAGAAGTTTGCGTGTATAAATAATTAGGCAAAATGAGCCTGCAGACGCTGTGAGATGAGCGCGATGACAAAGTCACAGTGACAGCTCGCTAACGTGTTCAGGGGACATCAGATGCTCCTACGAGTCACTTTGGAAAGATCAAGTGGGTTCCTACTGCGTGAAACATGAGCATTTGGAGGAAACCTGTGTTCAACTGCTACGCTCAACTCTGTGAATCCCGTGCAGAGAATGGAGGACGCTGGAGATTGTATCCCCCACGGCACTCCCAGTCTGTGTCTGGAAGAAGAGGTGAGATAAGTGAAACCCATGTGACACCAAGATACCAAAGCTTATCGGCTGTCAGAGTTTTTTAAAGGATGCCATCTTTGGAGGCGAGGAGTCAGGAAAGTATACATCTAAGGTTAAAAAAATGTTACTTTCTATGTGGCGATTTGAAGATGGAAAACTCCATGTCCGGACATACTTTTTGTTTGTTTAGAAGTGTTGACCTGAATCCAACCTGCAGTTAAATGAGCACACAGTGAGCAAAATGGACCCAGGTAGGCCTAATGGAAGGTTCTCACCAGATGGCTGCAGGAAGGGCCATGGCTTCAAAGAAGCAAGAATCCTAGTAGGGCAAGCCAAGGTGTTCATATTTTAATTGTACACTGTGCTCCATGGGGACAAGGAGGAGAAGGAAAGCCCTGACTGGAAGCCAAGAGATGGCTAGATATGACATGTGGCCTGAGCAAAAGTTTCAAGGTCCCCAGGCTGAGCAAGACAGGAGATGCTTCTCCTTGGAAGGCCTGTGATTTTTATTCATGCTATGTGCCTTTCACATAGATACCTCAAACAAGGAAGCTCTTCATATTGTTTTATAAAAGCAAGTTCAAACATTTTAGTTGTATTAGTACTGTCTGGAAGAAATCACCTGGGCATTGTTGCTCAAGAAATTCTTTCCAATTCATGACTAAGAATGGACAAAAACACAGCACCCCAAATTACCTCTTACATGAAGAAACAAAACATTCACTGTTAGAGGATGTTGGTGACCTCAAGATGAATTTTGGGGTTGAAATCTACTCTGCCTTTCAATCCCTCCCAACATTGACACATGGAGAAAATCAGCACAATTTGCCAACACACAGCTACCATGCTGAGTGAACTCAGGCCCTGGAGCAGCAGAGACCCAAAGTCCATCTCATCATCTGCTGTCTAACGAGGGCCCTGGTTTCACAAGCCTTGTGTGTATGCATTCCTGCCGGCAATTACTCTCGTAGTGGCCAACAGAACAAGAGTAAGAAAAGGCAGAAAGTAAAAGGAAAGTTGGTATCAACAAACCACTGACTACCTTTTGGTTGGTGGTCACTGTTTCTTAAGCATTTGACATTCTTTTCTTTAATTTTTTTTTTCTTTTCCTTTTCTCCACCAAATTACCAGCATACGGAGGGAAGGGTCAAGCTTAGGTCTAGCCAAACTCGAAAGGCCATTCTCCCATAAGCAGCATTCTCCAGCTCCTCCTGAGAAGTGCGTTTGTGTGAACCCAGTGCACAGACTCTGCCCTAGAGAAAGCAGCTAAGGCTGGTCAAATGTACAGGTGAAACTTGA